CACGTGAAGTCCTATTTTTTGAAAAATTTTATTACATTTTTGAACGAATTACAAAATTGCTATTTTGAAATTTGGCCGCATGGCACAGCAATAGGAGGTCTTTAGACTGAGCCAACCATACATTCATTGATCATTTAAGGAAAAGAAAAATGAATCATGATGATAAAGAAAATGATGGTTTTTTGAGTACACAAACTTCTCCCAAAAAACCAAAACCTCAAACAACGAAGTTAAAATTTAAAGGAATGGATATGCTTTAATAATGTAAATGCAATGAAGATTTCCTTTGGAGTTAATTAATTTCCTTCAGAATAATAAAAATGGATATACATTGTTAAAAATAGGAAAATAAGAAGAATAAAATTAATAACTGCTTGTTGTGAAATTGTAGAGGTCCAAAATTATATATGTGTTATAATCTTACATTGGGAAGTTAAACACATGTGGTTCAGTGCATTGTTCAATGTCATGTGCTGATCAACATAAAATCATTTTGTTCTGCAAAGGCAACATCAAACAATATGATAAAACACTAATGTGGACCAATGTGTAGAACAATGCATTAATGTAAATTATTACATGGGGCATACTGCAACAAAACCAGACAAAGTGAACATTTTCACTACTAAGGATTTCAGGGATCAAAATTTAGTCATTTTGTAATGTGTTTATAATTAAAAGCTATATAATAATCCCATTTGTTAAGTGATACATAGAACTATCCCTATATAAAAATCATTAATTAGGTCTACCATGGAACCAAAAAATTACAACATTAGAAGTATTTTGAAAAAGGAACAAGGTGAAAAAATTGCTCCTTATATTTTCAAAATAAATGATACTCGGACACTGGAAACTTATTTAAGAAAAGAAAGGATTACTTATGAAATTTACCAAGAGGAAAGAAAATAATAAACATTAACAGTCACTGAATATGTGATTTCAAGTGTACAAACATACATGTAACATTACCAAAAAAATCGAACTAATCCGGTCAAGCAAATCATTGCGGCTTTTCTTCTTGGTTGTTTTCTGCTATAATTAAGAAGCACGAAGATGAGGAGAAGTTGGCTTTTGTTCTTCCATGGTAATTTTTATTTCGTTAGGAGTAAGTAGCCTTTCAGCATAAGTCATTAATTGATCCAAGGTAAAGTAATCAATATGATCACTTACCAGTCGGGATGATAACTACTCACTCAGCAAGTAGTTGATATGGAGGAAGAGATAATTCATGACGATATTTAGGTCATTATTTTAATCTTGTTACTATAAGTGGCAGTTATAGTTCGGCTCAAAATCCAAACTTATTAAGAAATGTTATCAATTCTAATGTTTATAAAGGAGCGTTTCCTTTGCCCGCTTGTTCTTGATTAGATCCTGACAAGTTTAAAATTGATTATGTTGAAGAAAATGGAAAATCGAATTTATTTATCATAATACAACTTTAACAGTTTCTTTATGAATCTGTTTTTTTTCTTTGAGAAGCTTTTTTCTGCTGATTTCAGCGAATGTAACAACATGTTTTTTATTACTCAAGCTTTAATATTGGTGAAACTATATATATTTAAATATAACACAACTTTGAAAGGTTTTTTTAAGATTGAACTTTAAATATTATAAACTTAGCAAATTTCAAATAATCACATGCTTTTTATTGTTTACATCTACAACTTTTGTTATGGGAAGTATAGTTGGTAAGTTGAAAATATTTATAGTTTACTTAATGACAAATATTTTTCAATATATAATTATTGAATATTAATTATTATTTATGAATCTAAATCTGAAGAATAAGGATCTTTGAGATGATAATACATTTACATGTAAAGTGGTATAAATTAATTATTCCAACAATGAATGGTATCAAATTTGTTAAATATTTTTATTAATAATGACATACAAATAAATAATTAAAACATTAATATTGTTGTTTACCCTTCCTTGTTTTACTGTGATTATAAATATATTTAGTTAATCTTTAGTGATTCCATCCAGTTTTTTTCCCACTTCTTTAATTAACTCTTCTGTTGGTTCACCATACATTTCAATGGAAGATTGAGTATTTCATGTTCTTCAAGGGTTGTGATCCTTCTTTGTCTCTTGGCTTTTTCCAGTTTTCACTTTCCCAATCAGTTATAGTCCTTTTATTATAATTACATTTGAAGAAAAATAATTAATAAAAGAATTAATAGCAATTTAAATAAATAAAGTTTTGATATTGGCCTTCATCATCATTATATTCCTCTTCCATATCACCATCACTGATTTCATCCTCATCACTTTCCTCTAATTCACTGTCATATAAAACCTCATCCAACTCATTATCACTTAAAAGCCTCCATCTTCATCTTCAAAATATGATTTAAAAAAAGGTGATCTTGATTTTCTTCTAATACTGATATAAATGCATTAAATAACTGGACATATGGGGCATGGACAATAGAAAAGGGGATAAATACCAAAATCGTGATTTTGAGTTAACAACACTCCTATGTGTAATTTTCTACAAGGATTAATTTTAGCTTAGAAACAATACTCACTTTACTTAATAAAATTTCGAGATAATTAAAGAAAACTTCAAGACGTACAAGAACCAGCAAATTGGTATTATACTAAAACAAGTAATGATAAACCTAATCCGGAAATTTGGTTCAAATCATGTAACACGAATTTATTAATAATTTATTATTAAACAGAATGGAAAATAAAAAATTTAATAAAAATCAAATAAAATTTTATCATCTAAAATCCACTTTTTCACAACAAAAATAATTGAATCAGATATTTAAAAAAATGACTTCTAAACATTTATTTTTTAACAATATTTTTACTGAGACACATCCTAATTTAATTGACTTAGAAGAATCCTTTGCTAATTTGAGAACAAGTTATATGCCTAATTTGATTATTAACAAAAATGAAGAAATAGTTGATGAAACAGATATAAGTCATGATGAGGCAGAAGTCAGTCATGACCTCTCTAAATTATAATAATGTTCTGAAATAACAAATCTTTTGACTCTTAAATTATGGTATCATTTTGGTTGATTAACAACTATGGCTTAACTTTTGGTTACTCTTACAAATAATTTGGTGCTTGTCAATTAATCAGTTTACAAATTTACTTTAGTTTCCTCAATTTTGCACCTGGACGAGTCTGTGAGTGCACACTCAATGGCATCAGATAATTCCCAAATAACTATTTCATCAACAGAAAAATCATCTCTTTTGGGAATTTCCAATAGAATTGCTATTTCCAATGATTAATTCACAAAATTTTTTCAAATAGATATTTTTCAATTCCTTAATTTTCATTAGCATAGATCAATTGTAGAATTTTAATTGGATTTTCTTCTATATATATATAATCTTCAAAATCTTCAACAAAGTATTTCATCATATATTCATAAAATGTCTCAATACCAAGTTGGTGTAAATAAATAAAGATGCCCTTTCACAAAGCTCAAGACTTCTATAAAGTTCCTTTTATTCACTTGTTTACATTTATTCGCTGATTGCAAACTTGCTTTGGTTTACTTGCAAAAAAATTTAAGTGGCTTGTTTATATTAATATTTATATTAATATTTAAATACAAATATTTATTTAATAAATAAATATAAAAAAACAGCCTGAAAAAGATTTCCTTTTTGGATTAAAATTTATTCCGAAATTAGAAATTTTCTTCACGCCTTTGTTAATAATTGTTAAATAACAATAATCATCATCTCTTTATTAATAACGGTAGCATCTATTGTATTTTAAGAGTATCTGGAACTAACTGCAAATCATTATAAAAAATTATTAGAAATTAAATTAAATGCCAATGACAACAATTGCCAATTTACTTTGGGTCTCGCTCACTGCTTCTTCCTTGATATCTGGAAATCTTCGGTGAATCTGGTAGGTGTTGTTGGCTCTATTACAAAGGTCAAAAGCTTCTGTAAAGTTTCTTTTTATTTACTTGTGACCAACTGATTTCAGTCATTTACGTTTACCCTTGTTTATATTTCTTTGGCCGATTGCAAACTCGCATCGGTTTATTTACAAATCAACTTGAGCAGCAAACTGTTCAATACCTTTATGTTCATAACAACCAGTCAGTATTTCCAATTATCCTTTGGACAATAACAATAAAACGTGCCTTTTTACCAATGCTCCACAAACTGTTACCTTTTTACCAAAGCGCATTGCTCTAAACGTAAAAACTACGTTTCTATTTTTAAAAAGTTTATTGCGATGACTTTTACAGAGTTTTTACTTTATCAGGATTTCAATTGTGTATTTGTTCTCAATCGAGGACCCGTTTATTTCAACACTTAATTTTTCAATTTTATTGACAATCCAACAAAATTATTCAATAATCCAGACAAATCTGTATTGACATAATGCAATTCTTTGATATTTTCAAAGTGAAGTTCTGAATCTCTATGAAAACTATTTGGTAGATAAGGGATTAAATCACCTAAATAAACCTTCTTGATCTTAGCAAACTTTAATAATATCAATCGTTTTAATATTTTCTCCTTCTACTAGTTACAAATATCCCTCAAAAAATGACAAATCTTTTGGCTAAAGCTCCGAACGGTTTGGTTTAAACTGAAATTTTTGGTTCGGTTTTGGTTTGGTTTCGGTTTTTAAATTATTATTGAACATAAAAAAAAATTATTTTTTTCCGATAATAAATAAAATATATATATTAATATATTAATATACAGTATATAATAATCAAA